GAATATGTGTTCCCTCATCATGATGCTAATGTGCTTCTTCATCTACAAACAGCACCATTTTAGAAATGGACTAAGAGTGAAACTGAAATGGAAAGGATACCCTTCGAACACACTAAATGCATCTTCTCCATCTAGCATGACTAATTAAAGGCTTAGACAGAGAGTGAAAGCAATTCAGAAGAGAACACACACTAAGAATAGATGCACACAAAGTGACAGCTGGAGAAACAAGCACAAATAAAATTAGATAACAGACATTTTGCAAGGATGATCTTGAATGACAATTTGCTCCAGAAACGTTAAAAAAAACGTTGTTGAGAAATACAGCAAAAGGGCGGCAAAATGGAGGAGATAAACCCAAAAGTGAAGGATTATCTTTTCCCCAAAGCAATGCAGCCATACATGTTAAAGTTGCTCCAACTAGAACTAGCTGTCAAAGCCACAGAGAGCATGCCGAGTCAGCCAGCAGGGAACAGCACACATCTAATGTTTTTAAAACACACGCCACCCTGAGATAAATGATATCTAATACACTGTAAATGTCTCACTTCTGTGTCAGATAACCTTTGGGTAGGTGTCTGTAGGCACATGAGTGAGGATTGTTCCAGCTGCTGACGTTTTGTTTGAACAATGATAGACTAACTCTCACCTGCACGCAGCTACAGGCTCTGTCCGTTAGGCAGGCCCTATTATGCTTTTTGGGGTTTCCCCTTTCCTATAGTTGTATAGTTATGCTTCGTTATGCTGCGTTCAGGTAGCAGTCTCCTTTGGAGGCGTGGGTTCGAATCCCACTTCTGACACCAATTGTGAAGCTGACAATTGAGCGGCCCGACCAAGCAAGGAGGCAGAGGCAGAACGTCCAAAATACAGCCCGGTGTGGGCATTTATTAAAACATGAACACATTACACACAGCCTCAATCCTGCTGCTGCTGCTGTTCACGTGAGCCCAGCCTGCAGCCACCAGGATCTCTCACACACTCCCTCCCCCTAACAGACAGGGAAACAGAGCCTAAATACCCACACACTCTAATCAGCAACTAGACACAGGTGAGGGGGGAGGAGACAACACCGGGCAACAGGTGCACACAATCATCAGCCACAGACATAACGGGAGGGGGAACACTTTTCAAACACAAACATATAACTGAACAGAAGTTCATGATGTCCACACCTCCACATATTATTTGCACCCGGATTATTCTTAACCGCTGTCATTCTACCCCAGCATAAGCACTTTCGGAGCTCTCGCTAACTCCCCTATCTTGTCAGGCGGAGCCGAGGACCCGACCAGCACCTGCCAGATGACATTTCAATTAATACGGTTTAATCCTTTAATAAATACTATCTCAATAATTAGTATAAATTATATAAAATGTGCAAATATGCCATGCCAAATGGTACTGTGCAATCACGCTAATAAAGTGCAAAACTGTTCACTAAAGTGCTGAGTTACCAGGCCCGAAGCCGTCAGTTCACATATTATATAGGTTTCTGTGCATGTAAATGGTCGGCAAAAGTTACAATCCAGAGAGAGTTTCTTTACGACCACTCCCCCCCCCCCTACCTGAAACGCCTCCATTGGACTCCTTTGTTTACTTCAGGAACATAGTGACATCATTATGTAACACTTGCGCTTCTATTGGCTAGCGATCCAACACATTGTACTTGATAGACTAAGGGGCGGGACATCTCTAAGTGGTTGACCAATCACAACAGAGCCGGCCAGCTAACCAATCAGAGCAGACTGTGCTCTGGTTTCAGACAGAGGGTGAAAAGAGGTGCTGCAGCACAGGCAGTATGAGAAACATTAAGAGCTTTTTGAACATTAGAGCATGGAGACATGTCACAGTAGAGACACAAATATAAACCTGACATTAGCATAATATGTCCTCTTTAATTCAGTTTTTGATTCTATTAAGTGTACTTATTAAACTTGAAATAGCCTACTTTTTGATCAAATATAAATCAACATGCCTTGATGATGTCCTTTTTTATATAGCCTATAGAAACGGCACCAAAGGAAACACTGCACGACATGCTGAATGCTACTGTGAGGAGTGCAAAACTGGAAATGCAAACTGTTGCTGGGGTCATGCACGTGTTCAGGGCTTTTACTAAGGTGTGAGGGTTCCCTGCCTCGGGGACCTCAGGCTACTTCAGGGGCCACGTCAAAGCTGGATCATGCCTCTCTACTCACTGCTGCTCTCAGGGAGGAGGTCCAGCTGCAGGGCTGCTATGTGTCTGTACCAGCGCAGAGCGTGGACATGGTGCGGGTCTGGGGGCCTGTGGAGGAGATTAAAGGCTTTCTGGTCGGCCTGGGAGGGGCAGAACCCCGCCAGGTAGCTGCGTGAGGTGAGGTAGTCATTCAGGGCCGCTGCCAGCGAGGCCTCCTCATTTATCTGTAGCAAGGGGCCATACTCAAAGGCTGCAGAAACAAGAGGGCAAATATTCGCAATGGATTACCGACCAGGCTGCAGCAGCCGGAGGGAAAACTCTAAACAACAGCAGCACAAATGTACCCGGCACACCACCAAGCCAACTACAAAAAACAAAACTGAAATCATACTGATGACAACTGGCACTAACTCCTGATGTCACAAAAAACCGACTGGCACATATTTTGCCTTTGAGTGAGTCTAAAACCCAGGGCTGCACAATGTGGAAAACAAGAACTTATTGAGATCATTTTAACTGATATTGGAGGCAATGATTGTATTTGTGTCATTCATCTCCTTTACATTGAAAAACATACTATGATCATGGTAGGATTTTTTAAAGAGGATATGTACCAAACAATTGGGATATAACTTTTTTTAAATCCTCTGGAGCAGGGAGAGGAGCTGTGGATTATTGTTATTGATTAATGCATCAGTGTTTCTTAGGGTCAAAAACACTAAACTCACAACTTAAAATGAAAGTGTTTAGTTTATTTAATAAAAGAGCACATGTTCAATGTGAAAAGTGACAGTAGATATAGATTAGTTGCAATTTGGTGCTATATATATATTTAAAAAAAAAATATATATAAAAAAAAAACATCTTTTTTTTATTTTTTTAAACACCTTGAATTTCAGGGTGGGGCTGGGCTCCGTTGGCGGGATGAATGTGTGTGTGTGTGTGTGTGTCCGCATCTGTAGCCTGTTATTGTCTCATTATACTGCACTGTGAATGAATTAAACGTAAATATATAAGTCGTCATGAACACATCTGTCCATCAGCTGTGCCTCCTGTCATCATTAATGGACGTCTCTTTAAAATGACCGCTCAGAGGAGAGGAGTTCTCACTTCTCTAACCGCCTGCTGCTTCCCCTCCTCTCTCCTCGGTTCCCCTCCTCGGCTCCTCCGCTCGCATCTCCTGTGGGCGGGACTAAGACACGAGGATAGGAGTCGAGGAGGGGAAATTAGAGAATTGAGAAGCCTTCCATGTATGCACACAAAGTGACAGCTGGAAGAAGAAGTACATGGAATATTAAATAACACAAAAAAGGGCTTGGTGTACTTGAATGAAAATTGCTTCTGAACCATACTCTAAAACTCTAAAATATTAATACATGTGGTTCTTAGGAAGCTTTCAACCCATTAACAAAAAAGGTATGACTTTTAACAGTCCTGAATTACATGCATTACATGTTATTATTATTGTGAAGATTGATTCCAAGAGGGTCTCAGGCCCTTTAGCACCTGATCTTGAATAGATATGAATATGTACAATTGTCAAACAGAAATGTAACAGATGGAACTAGATGATGCAAGAGCAAATGTGAAAGTGAAAACAAACAAATTAAGAATTAAACAAACATGAACCTCTCAAACTGATTTTAAGTAAACATTTCGATGAACATCTCTCAGTATGAAGTTATAACTGTAAAGAAGAGCAACTCATCGAATGATGTAAATAATATTGCACTTATGACTAATTTAACCGGATGTTGCAACGGCACGCAGTAACAAGAAATACTCATTAATGATATTAAAATATAATATTACTTATTATAATAAATGTAATAATTCTAGTTATTCCAGGTCTCAGGACATTTGCCAATTTAACCCATTTTCAAATGTATATAGAAATGAGTGAAATCAAGTAACATTGTCAAACTGAAACACAAACCAGATGATGGAACAGAGCACAACTGAAAGTAAAAAGCATACAAATAAATAAACCTTTACAATTTAAAACCAACTAATGTTCACAAAACCTATAACATCATTAATAATTATTTTTATAAATAAAATGCTGATGAAAAAGGGATCAAAAATAACATCTGGCCTGATGTGAAAACAACCGTTTTGCTTACTATTGTAAACGAAATAAATTGTCTTTAATTTGGCCATATTGTGGAAATATGAGCCTATTGTGCCCTGTTGAACTTTTTAATATTACACTAGAAACATAGACCTGGAATACCTTGAAATGCTCAGCTATAACGCATTTCGATTAGTCTAATAACGTCACATATTCTTTTACAGAACACGCCACACCAAACACTATTGAAAATATTGCACCAATTAAACATAAAGTATTTCAGTCGTTTAACATAATACTGCTGTATGGAGTATGCATTTGTGACTAAATGGTGTTGCATTTACATTCCGGCAAGCTGTTGAATCTTATTTATTGACCTACTGTAAGGGTCTTAGCCGATACACTCTGCTCCATTACCTATGACTTTAAACCCCCTGGTTTTTAAAGGGGGTTCGCCTTGTCCCTGTCACTGACCGGTTCCCTTCAGCTGAGGCTTTGCACCACAGAGGGCTAAAAAGGCTCATATTAGCTTATTGGCTGTGACAGCTAGTCAAAACACATTCAATTGTGCTGTCACGGCCCTCTTACATATTTCCAACTAACGCGTCTAAAAGCAGAAATAAACATTTACAGTACCTGGCTCTCCTGAGGTCGACATATCCACAGTGCTGGATGGTTGGATGCTGATGCAACAATAACGTGTCCGGAAGAACAAGAACCGTGCACTATATGGTAACGGTAGGAACCGGAACCAGTGTGTTAGACCTGGGAGCGGGGGGACGCTAATGGCTGACGGTTCTCCCGGGCGGAAGTTAGTTTTGTTTTCAAGAAGTCGTATGTTTTTCAAACTAACTCCTTAATAGCTGGTATTTTATGAACATGGCGGCTACATGAAGAGTTTATATGTTAGTGTAGAATAAGTATAAGCTGAAATGTCTCCTCTTAAAGAGTACGTGGATAAAGTGACTCGTGTTTATGAGCGGTACATTGAGTATGTGAAGAGAAACCCCTCCGCCGCCGCACAGGTGGAGGGGACGGTGCGGACCCTCTCATACCTGATCGCAGGTCAGTGACACAGCTTTTACTCAGATGAATCATATATTAAAACATTGTAACACTGTGTGTGGGCTTAACTCCACCTCTAACTTCTGTTCACTTAAACTTGCGTTGCAGACCAGATATTAGTTTCATTATAACTTAAAACCATGACACTAGCTGCTTATGCTGCACATAAAGATTCTGGATTTAATGTTTTCCACATATAATAAATGAGAACATGTGACACATTTTGTCTTGCATGCATTTTATTTAGGTTGTCATTGGTCCTTAATAATAAAATATACATATTTGTTCACAAACCTGTGTACATAAAGTCTTGTTTATTCATTAGCTGTGTTCCTCCAGCTTCGCTGTGCTTGCTCTTGTGTCTATTTCTGTGTAAGCTAAAACTTGGCCAATAAACATTATTATTATTTTTCTTACCTTTTTTTTCAGGGCGATTCACAGATTCCCATTTAATATCTGAACTAGGTAAGTAAAAGTCAAGGTTCAATAATAAGCTTCAAGGTCAGTTGACGTGTGTTTAGCAGTTGCATTACAAACAGTATGACCATCCATAACATTTAAACTGGTCAACAGTAGGGGTCAATCTAGTTGCATATAGATATTTACATACAACATCAAATATCAAGTATGAGTTAGTGTAAGGGTAAATGTTAATACTGAAAGTTGATGATTTTGTCCATGATATTGCCCTTAACGCTTCATAAATCAGTTGTAAAGAGTTGACTTAATAATTAAATAATCTGGTGCAATTATACAGAAGCTGCTGTACAGAAATGCCAGAAATATATATATTTATACAAGGCAAATCATAACATACATGTCTTATACATGTATAGTTTTCCACCAGACAAGCAAGGCAAGTTTATTTGTATAGCACATTTCAAACACAAAGGCAAATCTCAGGGTTTTATATAAAGCATATAAATGCATTAAAATTAAAATTAGACAATTTGGTAACCTAATTATTATAAAAGTGATTCATAGAGGGTCTCATGATATTTGGTGCTTTGACATGAGTGAAACAAAGTGTAATTGTCAAATAGAAACTTAACAGATCAAACTAGATGATGCAAGTAAAACTGAAAGTAAAAACAAACATATTAACAATACGTCTTGAACAGTTTAAATGTTTAATACGCTCATATCCTACATATGATTGGGCATAATATCCTGTTATCACAACAAGAAAGACATATCTTAAGTATAATCTTAATGGCGTGTCATGTGAACTTTAGAAATGAGTAGATTTTCAAATGATGTAATATTGCACACATCTGACTAAAGCAAGAGGTTTTCTTCCTTCAGCAAAGATGGTGCATGCTTTGACAACAACAATAATACAATTGACAGCATTATTTCTTTTGTATATAGACGAGTGAAATATATTGAAAATGTCAAAATGAAACGTACCAGACTAAAGTAGATGATGCAAAGGAGCAAAACTGAAAGTAAAATGAATGATAAGAACTAAACGTACATAGGTTAACATAAACTAATAATAGATTCATAATTAATCAACAGAAAACTGTTTTTCATAATCGCTAAAAAAAAAAGTTACCAAGTATTTTGCTTAGAATTACCAAGTAAAATACCATCTTCAAGCTTCCTAAATGGTTGCTGTTCATGCATTATTGAATATATGTGTTGCCTGATCTCTCCTCATGTCTTTTATGTTTCAGTGTACTCTGCCTCCAACCTGCTGGTGTTGTTCAATGACAGTATTCTGCGCAAAGGGCTGAGATGTTCCCTCCCTGTGGTGAGCACTGCTGGATAGATTTACCTCACATTACATTCACAGAAGAAGAAATGCCTTTCAAGAGACACAGACACTGGTAGCGTTCATACAGGCCAGGGATTTGATACACGCCGGGCTCAGTCTGTACTACACGAAGATAAACAAGAAAGAAAAATGGCTACAGAGCGGCCGATGTACCAAGATAGTGCTGGATCAAAATAGATACCAATTCAGAGCTAAATAAAGCTAATGAACAATCACAAAAAAACGTGAAAGAACACCAGAAAAACGATTGACTATTCCTGCAGGTTTTGCTAATCATTTATCCAAAAAGCTGTGAGGTAATGATTTATCCAGAGTTCTCTTAACCTGATTATACAACATCAATGTGTGTCTGAATGTTTGCCAAAATCATGTTGCCTTGCGGCAGGATCACATTAGAAGAGCTAAGTGGAAACGTTACGGTATTGCCAAATCTCTTCCAGTGGATACATTTCTGCCGCTGCACGGTTCCTACCATGATATTATCCAATCCTGCTGAAAAACGTGCACAACATTTACAACTTGTTTCCATTTTGTATAGCTTTTGCATTTCAAACAATCTAACCTATCATCCAGCTCAGAAAATACATAAGACTGCTTCATTCATCTGTAGGTTTAGCTAGTATTGAAAAATGTGCAGTTGAATATTCAATCATCTGTCAGTGAATTGGTTTCTGGGGGGTAGTGGCAAAAGGGAGGGTGGTAGTGGATTGGAGGGAGCATTGTAAGAAGTTCATCCTCATTTATAGTTTCATCTTTATTTATGGATGTCATTTTGGTTAATGAATGAGTGTCTGAGGCATCACTCACTTGTCATCCAGAGCCCAGTCTGCTCTGACATTGTATCCCCAGTTTGGTGTTGAAGCGATAGACTGGTCTGCACAGAGCTCTGACCTCAACCCCATCTCACACCCGTAAGATGACCTACACCACACATCCAGACCCTACATCAACCATACTCCTGTGTCTGAATGGGTGCCATGTTTAACCATCTGTTTGAAAGTTCTGGGCAGAACCGTTTCATACCGAATACCGTGAACTTTATACCGTATGATATAGAGGTGTAACGGTTCACAGAAGTCACGGTTCGGTTCGTACCTCGGTTTGGAGGTCACGGTTCGGTACGGTTTGGTACAACAAGAAAAAGCAAAGTATCACAGGCTGGCTCTGTTGTGGTCAAACGCTTGGAGATGTCCCGCCCCTATCAAATACAATGTGTTGGAGCGCTAGCCAATAGAAGCGCGCGTGTTACGTAGTGATGTCACTATGTTATTGAAGTAAACAAAGGAGTCCAATGGAGGCGTTTCAGGAAGGGGGTCGTAAATGGACTGTACTTATATAGCGCTTTCTCCAGTCTTTAAGACCCCTCAAAGCGCTTTACATACTACATGTCGTTCACCCATTCACACCCATTCATACAGAGCAGTGTATGTTAGGACATGCACTAACATTCACACACCGTTGGCCATCGGGAGCAACTCAGGGTTAAGTATCTTGCTCAAGGATACATCGACATGTTGACTGCATGGGCTGGGATCGAACCCACAACCTTCTGGTTGAAAGACGACCGCACTCTCTCGCAGCCACAGTCGCCCGTAGAGAAACTCCCTCTGGATTTGAGCCTTTGCAGATCATTGACATGCACAAAAACCCATAGAAGACACTACAGGATAGGGAACAGCCAAAAAAGCATAAGTGGAAGCACTTGTAAAAATAAATAAATGAAAGTATCTGAAGAAAGAACAACATCAGTGTGACTGCCTTGTTATGGGTTTATAATAAAGCAACAGGCGGCTTTGAATAAGATGCTATGCTGTTCCTGTGCTGCAGATGAAAGTTCTGAGCGTTGTTCCTCTGTCTCTCCAGCCCCTCTCTCAGCAGAGGCTCCTCACCTGGCTCTCGGTGATGGAGCATGTGGAGGTCTTCCTGGAGATGGGATCCTGCAGGCTGTGGGGGGACGCAGGCCGCTGGCTGGTGATCGGGCTCATTCAGATATTCAAGTAAGCTTCCCTCCTCTTGAAGTAGTATCTCTTTTTTTAACATGAGAAGAAAAACGCATATATAAAAGGACAAATTCAATATACCCTACACATCTAAGCTAAGTGTGTCTGTCGTTTAACTTTGACACACTCGGGGCCCATAAGCCTGCAGGAGTGCACTGCATTTTATCACTTTAATCCTTCCTTTAAAATCTTGAACACCCACTTTTGAAATGTATCTTCCTCTAGCTGCTGCCCTGTCTCTTCAGTCTCTCCTGTATGGTAATTCCTCTTACTACCAAAGGAGGGAGACAAAGTTCCACACTTCCAACTTTTAGTCAATAATGTATTCTATTTCGAAATCTCATTGCCCCCATGCTCAAAGCAGCTCCATAGAGACATTGTATCCCCAGTTTGGTGTTGAAGCGATAGACTGGCCTGCACAGAGCTCTGACCTCAACCCCATCCCACACCCGTAAGATGACCTACACCACACATCCAGACCCTACATCAGCCATACTCCTGTGTCTGAATGGGTGCCATGTTTAACCATCTGTTTGAAAGTTCTGGGCAGAACCGTTTCATACCGAATACCGTGAACTTTATACCGTATGATATGAATTTTTCATATACCACAATACCGTTAAAAATGTTAGGAAGGGCGATCGAGCAGCAAGCCTAGTAGCATTAGCATAACATGTGAAGCTGAATGTAAAGATGGAAACTGAAGAAAATGAGACTGGAGATGGAGATACATGAATGACAGAACTTGTGTCGAGGAGAGGAGCTGTGTCTGCCGTTTGGAGGTTTTTTGGATTTAAAAAATCTGGCATGGACCAAACTAACATTTATTGCAAATGTTGTCGAACAAAAATTGTTGCTCAAGGATGTAACACAAGTGATTTACTCCATCACCTCAACAGAAAGCACTTATTGGAGTACGAAGAATGTATGGTAATACGATCTGTTTCAACAAGCAACGCTGATGAAATGTCTAAAGTCGAGTCAAGCGTCGCTTGAAGACACATTCGTCAGAGGGACTGCCTATGATAGGAAAAACATATAAATAGATTGGATGTATACTTTTTTGATCCCAATTTGGGTAAATTCTTTCATTACAAAAGCAGCAGTGTGTTCAGACATTACAAATACTTTTTAAAAAAAGAAGTAAGTGGAATAGAGAAAATAACAATTAAAAAAAAACATATCAAATATAAATGTATATACATTTCCAATCATTGAAAAATAGATAAATACCGATATAAACCGTGATACCTTTATCAATTATTTTTATTGAACTAATAATTAAATGGGTATCCACTTACCGGTACTTTCCGCAATGTAGAGTATAACCAACAAATAAAATGTTTATTAAGAAAAGAGTATGCTCCAATTTAAAGTGTGTACTATGTTTGATATAATTAATCTCACATTGATCTCCAGGGCCATTTTTCGCCTTGTGCTTCTTCTGTGGTACAAATCTGGCATCCAGACTTCACCTCCCATAATGCCCGTTGACAGAGCAGCTGAATACATCGGGGAAGGTCAGTATCCTCTAACTCACAAGTAGTACTCATGTTTTTGCTTGATATTTAACAAGAAATTGTATTTTTCATTCTTAGTAATAGGCAAACTTTTGACATGGTTATTATTGTCATTGTCAACATGACGTTAGCCTTTAGCATGGAACGACAGAGATGCTAGCATGGCGGTAGAGCCAACAGGTCTCAGGACAAATACAGTCTAACAAAGTTGTCACCTCTGACAGCATCTTGAAAAAAAAGCACGCTTCTGTCTGAGGTGACAGCTTGTTTGAGTGTTTAATTACACAGAGTAACTGTTTCAACTGCAACAGGCAGCTTTTTCCAACATAAAAGTAAAAGAATATACGGTTCCCAGCACCAAACAGCAGGCAGACACTTAGAGACAAGCTGCTGAACACAGTAGAGCATTGAGCAGTCCGATAGCAGGAGTTGGTGGAGACCAAACCGAGCATAAAGGAGAAGACACAATGTGGTGCTCTGTGTAAATACTCAAGGCAAATAACAATTCCATATGGTCATATGTGAGTTTTTACTGATTGTTCCATTGTGGCGAAAGAAAAAAATCTAACATTGCATTGAAAAAGCTATGTGTGTATAAGGAGTCAATTCAATTGGACTGTTTCTTCCTTTCTTCACAGATGAGGCTAACGGGGAACAACAAGAAGAAGAAGACACCTGCTACGTGGGCCAGAGGTCAGGACGGGTCATCAGGCCCCTCGGCAGCAGTGAGTTACATATTGAATGGAAACACAATCTTCTTAAGTTTGACGAAACCCTAAAATTAGTGGAGTTTTAGCCTTTAAGCAACCGTGTGACTGAGTGGTGGTGACAGTTGGTCTCTCCTTTTACTCAGGAGGTAACTTATGAACTACTCGACATGAAGTGATCATACTTAAAGATCATACCCACTCAAGGTCCCATACAGTTAGAGAGCAGACACCTTTGAAGAATGTTAAACTTGTGTGGGGTTTGGTAAAAGCAACATGGCCTTAAGAGCAGTCAAAGTTCAGCGTTCTGCCTTACGTAAACCTTACGCTACCATTTTAGCCTTTGCAGACCATTTACATGCACGAAAACCTAATATAACACTACAGGAAAGGCAAACCCCCAAAAGCATAATAGGGCCCCTTTCAAATGTTTTTTGGGGGTAAATAAAATGTGTACTTTTGCTTAAAGCAGCTATAATACATACAGTATGTAATTGTTTCGGAGTTCTGATTAAAAACTTCTCGTTAGCATCGTTTTGAGGCCGCTGGTTCAATCTCTGCAATCGCCTCAACCTTATTTTCAGGTGCTACAGCAGGCAGTTTCTAGCTAGAAAGTCAAAAGCCGCTAACGTAACAGGAAATGCCCTCAGGAGTTGCTAGAGACCAAAAACAGAAGTGGCTATTGAGCAGCTTGTCATCAATGCTTATGTTCCTGTTCTGCTGCGCGTGGTAACAGGCAACTGTTAACTAACACATTTGGCAACAACTTGTAAAGTTTGTTGCAGGTATGAAGTTTTTATTGAAATGTCTTATCTTAAGATGTTTTAATCACTTCTTTTGAACAAAAACAAGCACAGGTGTTAACAATAGAAGTGATGATTACTTGAATAGAAACTGTAAAAAGGCCAAAAGATGATATATTTATGTTGCAAACAGTCAGGAAGAGCAGCATGACATGGAGCAGGAAAATGACGTGTTCAAAAGGAATGTTTGAGTAGGTGTATTGACGTTTCACCGACACATTCCTCCTCCGTCTGCTCTGGGGTGTTCAGCTCCCTCCCTGCAGGCGCGGCGGTGGGGAGCCCCGGGTCAGAGTAAGAGGACGAGCGGCTCCAACGGGGAGAAGCTCCACGCCACACCTCTGGGTCTTCAGGAGACCCTCGCAGAGGCCGTGTACATCGGACGGCCTCTCGTGCACTGTATCCTTCCATATCGTCACTCCAGCTGTATTAAGATTCATCACATCATTTTTCAATTCCTGAAGATATATCCAAAATGCTATCAGTTTGTTTTAGGTATCTTGCAACAAATAAGCACCAGAGACCCCCAAAAAGGTGACTTGAAGCCTTCTTTTCAGATGTCAATAATAGTTATGACTTTTTTTATTTAAAGCAATCTGACAGTCAGCCAAAACTAACAGTACTGTAACTTAGTCCATCATATTATATCTATATCAATTCATAAACCACATTTTAATGAATACAACTAATCAGAAAGCACCTAAATTAGAAATGAACATCAAAAGGTTCTTCGGCTGTAGACATGAAAACTTAACAGCCATCTTTTTAAATATATTTGACCTTCCAAATATTTTTTCTAACTAAGTTTATCGTTACTATTTCTATCAATATTGTAATTTCTCAAATGAACTTCTGTGTATTAGCAGAAGTGCACTGACTGAGGACTGTCCTGCATTCATAGTGATGACCTCTAGATGGCAAACTGTTGCTGTATGAGCAGCGAGAATAAAAGCAGACATAAAAGCTTTAAGATGCCAAAAACAAAACTAATGTTTGAACTACGCTGAAAAACCTGAAGCGTTGACTTTAATTAAATGTATTATGTCAACACATTTCACATACCTCTATTAGGTTAGTTAAAAGCAATACTATTAAGTTGAAACTAATATTTTTGTATTTAAATGTAATATTATTGCTTTCAACCAACTTAATACAGTTTTGTGAAATCCGTCGACATAATGCATTTAATTAAAGTCAACGTTTCCTTTTTGTTCAGTGTAGAGAGCTTTTGTTGAAGTGTTAGTCCTTAAAGCCGGCCCAGTGCTCTGCCTGGGACTCTGTGGGAAGCGGTCCTGGAAGCCCTGGCTCATGTCTGGAGTCCTCGAACTCTCCAGGTTAGCATGCTCCTTATCTGCTAAATGTATATACCGATTCACATCCAAATATTACATTTACATTCAAGGCCGGATCTGTAACTACTTAACACAACATGTAGAATACTAATTATCTTCATATATTTAGAAAGAAATACATATTGTCTTCTTGAAACAAAAACAATTTTTAGGAATTATAATTTGTATTGTTAGATAAACACAAGCGGGCAAAACTATGGCAGAGTTTTTTGCAATTCTTTTAGCAATTTATTTTCCTTATTTAAATTTTTTTTAATTTTAAGAATTGTTTTAGACGTATTGAAATCCAAACAGGATGCTTTACTTACTACATATTATAATGTAACCTAGTCCTCCATGTTTTGAAAGGAAAACAATATTATTGATGTTAATATATATCATTAGTTGGCGGATAAAATACTTCTGGTTCATGAGTTAATAAGTGCAAAGGGGGGGGAAATAGCAAATGTTTACAAATGTGATTTAGATAGAAGTACAATTATTTAAGATGAATCATTTATTTTGTATCAGTTAGATGTGGACATACAGTATATTACGCCACTATGTCGACATCATGTTTTGCCCACGGATCAAAACCTTTCTAAATGACTGAACCAACACAAAGCCCTCTGATTAAATAGGATCTGCTGCTGTGGGTATGTGCTTTAAGATGTCTGTCACTCTTGATGAGTACAAGCTAAGCTATGAAAACACAAAGCGGAGATAAGACATCCAGCAACCAATTATTATCTGGTGTGCCTTTACGAGAAGAAAGTACAATAAGTTATTCCAGTTATTTGTGCTTCTCTTTTCAGTTTCGCTGTGCTCAGTGAAAGAAAATGTCAAAATCGATGGGAGAAGGCGGAGATGAGGAGAAGGACATTCCTTCTGCTCTACTACCTGCTGCGATCACCCTTCTACGACAAGTTCTCTGAGTGAGTATGTCTGGATGTCAGGATAGAATCCAGACGATCAAGCATGCAACAGAAAAACAATGTGTTTGGGCACTAGCCAATAGAAAAGCGAGCGTTATGTAGTGATGTCACTATGTCACAGAAGTGAACAAAGGAGTCAAGTGGAGGCGTTTCAGGCAGGGAGAGAAACCTATATAGCGCCTTACAGGAAAGATACAACCCCCCAAAAACATAATGGGGCTCTGAAAGAAACTATACTGTGTGGAGAGGTGGGTCACTGAACATCCCAGCTGGCCCTTTCACCTTTTATTTCACAATCCGGTGATTTGGTGGCAGTTAAAGCACGAGTGGCGAATGTGGATGATTTGATCTAAATAAAAGAATATTGCCAGTCTTATCATAAAGGCAAAAATAGCAATTCTAGAATAAGGTTGACTATGTCACTGAGATCATGTAATGCATCCACAGGATTCACTGCTCACTTTCCTTCAACGTATGTTCAAAACAAAAGGAATCTAGCAGGTTGATAAACACTAACTCTTAACTTAAACATTTCATATCAAAGAGTAACAAACTATTGGGAATGCCATGTGCCACTCAGTCCTTTGTCCAGCAGTCTCTGGAGGGGGGGAAGGGGGCGGAGTTTTGTAGGCTTTGGAAGGGGCGTGGTCTACACTTGATTGACACTAGTGATTCAGGTAGAGAGGAGATTTGGGATTTCTATTCAGTTTACTCTTTTATATGAAATCCTTACATTTTAGAATTCGACACCAGATCTGCTTTGAAAGGATTACAAACAAAAGATTATACTGCAATACATTTATCAGCCAAAGAATCGATTCATTGTTCCTCTCCTATGTGAAATACACAGTTTTGCAAGAATCACTCGAATATTTGTAAAATAGCAGGAAATACCAATAGAATTGTTTTGATTTTGTTTGCACCACAAAGTGTTTTAACAGCTGTGTGTTTGTTTAGGGAAAAGATTCTCTTCCTGCTCAGACTTCTGGCTGATAATGTCCCAGGGATAGGCCTCATTGCACGTAAGTACTGTATTCATACCTGAGAGTCTAACATTCATAGCTCGTGAAAACAATAACAAAATATTGTTTGGATAACAACATCCTTATTATCTTAGCACAGTCTATCCCTCGTGACGTGTGGTCTGGTCTGGTTGGGTTAACAGTGCTACTTAGCAACATACCTTCATCAAAGTGTTGACAGGCTGTTACAGAAGGGAGAATGGTGTGAGAACTGTGAAGTGAAGGGATCAGTGATCATAGATATCACATGTTATGTTAATCCATCCAAAAGTTGTTGAGATATTTAACAAAAAACCCTAAAGGTCAACTTCTGGGTGGAGCTGGATGAAAAGTCAGTGGGAATCAAAGTGGTGAATCAACGTAACCCTGAGCCATTTTGAAGGACTTAAAAAGACTACAGCTCCCATGAGAGTGACGCAGTTGTGGCAGGACCAACACCTGTGTTAGCAACGTTTAGTTTCTGCTTTATCAACCCACCTTTTCATTCATTTGTTTTATTGGCAATATCGTTTTCATTTAGAATGCAGTTCATTTCAGTTTTACTTCAACTCTCTATGACACTACTGGCTATTGTTCAGCAGAGTTACATAATATCTTGGCAACTTATTAACAGTAACAACAACAACAACAGTGTATTTCGTAACGACTGATTACATTTATAAAAATGTTGCCCCTTTTCTTTTAGCAGCACCATTCAGTTTGAATGATATTCCTCTCTTTTATCCCATTCACAGCTCATAACATAAAGGCAAGGAAGTATTCAGATACTTAGCTAAAAACACCACACTGTTAAGTATGGAGGACGGACATAAGTATAAATAAATAAATGTATGAAAAAATACAGGAATTAATAAATAAATACAGGAATAAATAAATGACGAAATAAATACATAAATAAATAAATGTTAACATAAATACACAAATAAATAAATAAATACACCAATGTATAAATAAATAAATAAAAGTCGAAAATAAAACAGAACACACGTTATTATATATCTTTCATCTATTTCTACATTTACGCGACATACATTTATTTATTTATGTATTTATGTGTCCGTATGCTAATGAGGTAGGCGGTCCTAACCTCAGTCTGAAGCAGGATTGGTTACAGGAGTGTGTGATCATTTCTGGCAGAGGGCTCTACTACTGGCTAACCGCGAACACCTGCGCGATGTCCCCAGCGGTGTGCCCCCAACGAAGATGTGCTTCAATAACGTTTGGGGGCAACATGTAAGATGGACGCCCAAGGGTCGCCTCCTCTGTTTCCGAGAGGATTTCAAGTTGGCGGGCAACCTCTTGAAGACTCTCAAACACAGCTGGGTTAACATCCACATCGAGCTGAGCCAAGTCCTCTATACATCGTTCCACACGAAACTGGACATAGTCTTTTGGTTCTCCGTTCTCTAAATGGTCCGCTAATGATCGTAAATGATCTCCAATGGCTCTTAAACCAATAGAGCCCTCTGCCAGAAATGATCACACACTCCTATAACCAATCCTGCTTCAGACTGAGGTTAGGACCGCCTACCTCATTAGCATACGGACACATAAATAAATAAATGTATGTCGCTTAAATGTAGAAATAGATGAAAGATATATAACGTGTGTTCTGTTTTATTTTCGACTTTTATTTATTTATTTATACATTGATGTATTTATTTCCATATTTATATATTCTTTTATTTATTTATTTATACATTGATGTATTTATTTCCATATTAATATATTCTTTTATTTATTTATTTGTGTATTTATTTCAGCATTTATTTATTTCTTCATACATTTATTTACATCATGTTCCGCCCTCCATAGTAAAGAGTACTACAAGTACAAGTCCTGCATTGGAAATGTTACTTAAGTTATCGCAAGAAAGTATTCTCAGCCAAATGTAAATTATTAAACATAAAAGCTAGTTTCATTTATAACAACATATCCTGTTTTATAAACTGTTTTCAGGCAGAAATATTTAATTGCAAAGTATCTAGTGGCTAAAGCTGTGGGATAGATGTAGTAGATTAAAAAGTACAATATTTCTCTTTGAATATGAAAGCGTGTAATACTTGAGTAAATGTACTCAGTTACTTTACACCACTGCATTGGTGCTTGTTTTGATCCTGCTTGTGTGTCCAGGGCCTCTGATGGATTACCTCCCCTCCTGGCAGAAGATCTACTTCTACAACTGGGGATAAACCCCCATGGATGTGTTCGGAACTTTATCATTCGCAAGTCGACGAGGGCAACAATGAGAACGGAACGGTCCGGCCCAGGGACAGGCGCTTTATAATTTCCCCACAAATCAGATGAAATGATGTGGAGATAATTACCACTTTCCCCTGACAGCGAGGACCCTCCTTATTCCTGGTTACTTAAGAAATAAGCCCTACATGTTTTACTACCTTGTTTCTGACGGAACAAAGCACTGGTTTGATGAATGCTTCAAAAGCTAAATTTGCCCTGTAAGCCAAATGTTGGAGATCTCCATTCTTTGGGTAGGTGACGATTCATGAGTGTCAGTACTGTGAAAACGACATGTGACTAAAGGCAGCATGTCAAACCCAGCACCTTGATTGACAGTCTGTTTTCCACCAGCAAGCGTTGCATTTCCATTTCTTTAGGAAGAGTTGCTGGCAGGGAAGAGTTGCTGGCAGGAAAGAGTTGCTGGCAGGAAAGAGTTGCTGGCAGGAAAGAGTTGCTGGCAGGAAAGAGTTGCTGGCAGGGAAGAGTTGCTGGCAGGAAAGAGTTGTACAACACCAGATAAAATATCATGACAACTTGTAAGACAGCACAAACAGGTTTGAAGCTGGGGGTGTGAGGGAGAAAGAGTCCAACATGAGAAGAATCCAGATGTTTTAAATCTTTATTAACATACTGAATACGTATCTTTTTGTAGTCTACAAATAAATAGTTGAATGTTTCATCCTTTCAGTCCACATTTGTTACTTTTTTGGAGTTTTATCACGGGTCGGAACGTACACATGGCCACGCTAGGACAAATATGACACTGATCCATCAAAGAGCTTTTCAAACTGGTTCCTCTTCTACAGTTCTTTTAATAACTTGTTGAATGTCAAGTCTGCCTGCCGGGGGGGGGTGAAGATGTTTATCCTTGAGGTTAACTGCATTTCAATAAGATGTCAATGGGGGTTTGTCTGCCAAATAAGGCATGGTTTTGTCTCTACATCCTGAATGTCAAATGCATTTTTATTTTTCATAGGTCCAAAACGGATCAGCTAATGTAAAAGACATCAGCCTTTCAAAAATAAAGGTTAAAGTGAGAAGAAGGCAGACATGTCCGAATGTTTCAGTTAAAGTACATTAGGGCAGACTTCAGATTCAACTTGAAACAAGTTCCAGGTCTTAAAATGATATCAGTGTTTCATGACTTTACCTCTTATCTACATACTTTAAATGAGACTTATTTGTTGTACCATTACTGATTGGGTTTCATCCCCGGCACGGCCTCTTAGGTTTGTTGGAACACGATGTATTGGTCACAGGGTATTACAAGTATAGATACTAAATAACCATATAGTCTACTTTCCAGACCATAGAGTCCTGTTGTGAACCCGTATTTGTGGAGTACCCTAAAGAAATGTATAGTAAGGCTCCCACTTAGCATAGGTTGCATTATAGCCTATATGGATCATAGTTCAAAAAGGGCTTGGCTGTTATTGGAGTGATTTGGGGGTTATTGAGGATGCTGAATCCATTTCTGATATTTTCCAAAATGACCAGATAGTGGCCATATTGGTACTCCTGACACATTGGGTCGATTTTGATGAATTCTGTAGTTTTGGAAGACGCTGGAATGTTGTCTTTGACAGACTGCTTATATATATATTTGTAAATATTGTCCACTGTTGAGGTAATCATTTTCAGTTCCCTACAGCGAATGGTTGCCGCACAACTCCCGCCTTGGCCAGTCAGTTTGTGCAGAATCCAGCAGATAACCTGTTCACTAATGAATGCTCATTAACGCAATTTATGCAAATGTTTTAAAATGCCCAACATATGCAAGTTATCTGACAGTTACTAAATGCCGGGGAACCATAATAGACATTCCCGGGTTTCCCAGTGCTGCCATGTAGACTAATAGCAACCAGGACATCAAATATGGGATGCTCCACCGTTTCACAATATACACTCTCACCCAACTGAAATGCATAATTCCAATCTCTAAACAAACCATCTAAAATGGTCATTCAGTGCTCTGTTCATGAATACAAATAACCTGTGGATGAACTGTACTGTAAGTAAATCAAACACTGAATGCACACATTGTGGATTTTTGTTCAAATCAACGCAACGACGGTTTAACTTATATACACTGCACTTGTGTATTAATATAACAATAAAAGAAAAGACTTAAGTATTCGATAATATAAATCAAAAACAATACTTTGATTTTTGTTGAAGGAATAAAATATGGAAGAGTTAACTCTGACGTCATTTTGAAAACTAAAGACCAAAAAACAACAACATTAAATTACAACATATCTCTCGGTTTAGAAAAAACTACACTCTTTGATGGTTTCCTTTAGGAAAATAAAACTCAAGCTAATGAGAGAAGAAAATACAGTCTCACTCCTGTAAAAAATGTCTCTAGAAGAGACCGGGAGAGAAGGATGATTTATTATCCTCATGCAATCCTTTCTGCTTCCTGTCTCTCCATCGTCCCATTTACTCCGCCTCTCTGCGGGGGGGGGGGGGCTCTTCACAGGCGTCAGTTGGTATGTCTTCCCACAGCTTGGTGCTCATCCCTCAGGGCGAATCAGTAGGAGCCGTAGCGATCCTGGAGACATTACATGTTTCAGAAACAGAAGCAGCCATTTGTGTGTAAGCTAATGAAGATAGTCAGATATTGAATCATGTTCAAGTCTCATTGTTTGAAGAGTATACTAAAGTCATCACTCCGAATGTTAGCCACCTTTAGCTTAGCGGTGGTGATGATGTGAAGTCGTGTGACCGTGATGTAGTTTGTTTCTAGCCTAGGTTGTCAATGCACCACTCTATGGCTGCAGCAAAACGATATCACATATCAGTTTACAAACTCTCACCTGGATGGTATTCATGACACCGTTGGCCAGGACGGCCATCTTGCCGGCAACAGTCTTCACGCCCTGTTTGAACTGAGCGATGTCCGGGCCGGCGGGCAGCACACCGTCGTAGCCCGCTCCCCTCCCTGAGAAGAGGAAGTATGTAAGTCACACTACTTTAAATAAATAACATACATAAAGATTTGTTTTCAGTTCAGCTCATTGTGTAAGGGGAAACCGTTCAAACCTGCAGTAAACACAGAATACAGAATGTATGAGTAGTGCAACACTTAATGTGGAGTAATCCGCCGCTCAAAATAGTCCCCAACAAATGCACTATTAACTCCCGTTTAAGATGCATTTGCTAGAAGCTACAGTGACAAGCTGTTTAAGAAAACTACTGAGATTGAATATACCGCTCACAAATATATTAAGATGTATGTCTCAGGTAGAAACCAATGACCTTTGGCCTGAGTTCCACAGACATAAATTGCTGTGGTCTCCTCATGGCATTTTTGTGACACAAAGAAAAATAAAAGATAATGCACAATAGGTCATACCTGTATGGTCACTGGCTTCTCCAAACAGGTCAGCTGAACTGATGGAGGTGCTTCCAGACATGGTGTCCAGTCTGGTCTTGGCATCATACTGAGAGAAGAACAAACTAAAATCAACACCTGGGTAATGACAATACACAATTAGCACATCAATATCTCTCCAGGAGTTATTGCTTTTAACACATAGTTGCCAGGAATTGAATGCAAGCTTCAAGTGCTACAAGTTATAATTGAAAACTGAAATTATTTCTCACATCTGCAGTGTTCTCCCGGCCGAAGAACATGTCGGAAGAGATGGCCTTTGCGTTTGCAAACTTATTTCGGGCCTCACTGGACTCTGACACTGGAGCGGACACCTCCGCTTTCCTCCTGCTGGGAAGTCTGGGTTAGACACAAGAACACACATCAGAGCTGTTCCCAGTGGAGGGGACACAAATGTCATTATTATTTCAACAATGACAGTGCATGGATAGATACCTCTCTCCGATTGGCTGAATACTAGAGATGGTGACCTCCTCTTTGGGGTCCTCTTTCTCCAGAGCCCAGGAGGTGGTGAAGGAGGCGGTCCCTCCCTCTGTATCCCACCGCGATCCAAAACTGTCTCCAACTGTAAACGGGTTGTCCTTATATCTGAGACATCAAACACAATGTCTTACTCACCTGGTTGTACTGCAAGTTGACTCGTTGAAACTGAATCATATTCATATATATATATCGTTCGAGAGCTGTCATACGTACTTTGGGGGTCCCGAGGTGAAGCCCGGCTCATCAAACATGTCCAGTTTGGAGCGAGAGGAGGACTTGGTCCCCACTGGAGTCTCCTGCTCGATCGTCTGCATCTCTGACATCACCGAGTGAGACACAGCGCTGAAACAGGACACACACACACACACTTATTGAATCTTCTGAGATATTAGTCTCAACAAAGAAAAAAGAAACTAGAAATGTAACTTAATATATATAAATATATTTTAATTATCACAATTAATAACTACTCTTATACTCATTCATCAGAGCAATTTATTTACCAGTAAAATGTGGGTTTTGTGAAAGTTATTTAATATTGTGATAAAATAAACATCGATTAAATAAAAAATACATGTAATGGGCAAAAAAAAGAAGATAAGAAGTTAAAATAATCCATTAAAATATAAAACAAAATACAAATCTTTATGTGAAACATATGAAGTACAAATGTACACATTGTACTAGTGTTGTGTTAGCATTATAAAGATAATATTGCTCTATGGCGCAGGGAGCGGCTGCTATAAATTAAATGACATACAGAATAGCTAAACTATAGCTATGTGAGAGTTGAAGCATATATTTAAAATAAAATGTAAATGTTACTTTCCAGAGAACCAAATTACTTAGATGTTGTAGAAATCTTCATACAGACAAATAAGTGGTATCTGTTACTGTTTCCAGTAGCTTGCCTAACCCTGATGATTACACATGATCCATCAGTTAAGTTGATGCTCCTCATAATCAATGTGATCCTCTGCAGAGAAACAGACCGTCCCCAAACTCTGATCAGTGAAGTTACCTCCTGTTGCCGAAGCCCATGCCCAGCCTCTCCGCCTGCTCCCTCTTTTTGCCCTCCAGTGTGTTCATCTTCTTTTCCTCCATCTTCCGGTCGATCTCCAGCTCTTTGTAGGCCAGACGCATCGAAGCCACGCTGCAAAAGCAAAAACAAGTTACAACGTTTTACCGATCTTTTGAAAATGGACCTGGATTTCTGTGTGAAAATAGATGAAATAATACTTCTTACATGGACTCCTCTGCACTTTTCTTCACCTCCACAGCCTGCACTTCTCTCATCTTCTCCGCCACTTGCGCCTGCTTCTCCACCTCCGTGAAACTCTTGCTGCTCACCTTCTGGGCACCGAGACCTTTCTTGGCACCGAGCTGCATGAGATGGAAAAGTAGTGCACAGATTAGCTCTTGCATCGATTTAAAAAGGGCCCAATTCTGCTCATTTTAAGGTTAATTTATCTTTAGTGCCTCTACTGTGACGTGTCTCCATGCTCTAATGTTCAAAAAGCTCTTTATTGT